ACGCCTGCAACAGGTGGCGGGAGGGGCGGGCGAGGCGGCCAGAGCCCCGCGCAAGCTCCTCCCCGCGCCCCGCAGGTTCCGCGTTTCGGCGCGCCTCCGGGGTCAGACTCAGGCCGCAGCCAGGGCGCAGAGAGGCTCCGGCGATGAGCGCCGCCCGGCGCCGCTTGCGGCTACTGCTGGGGGGAGTCGCCCTCCTGCTGCTCGGGGGGAGCTCCGGTGAGTGAGCGGCAAGGCAGCCCAAGCCCTTTGCGCACCCCCGGGGTGCAAGCGCAGCGCCCCTCCGGCGTTCCCCCTACGCTGAGTTCCGGTGAGCCAGCTCACAGTTTCTTAGCCTCCGGCTCACACGCTTTTGTCTCAGCTCAGGAAGGGAGGGCGCCCCCGGAGCGAACTAGTTTATGCAGCAGCCAAAATCGCTCGCTCGCCACTTTCATGCCAGGAGCTCCTAAAGTAGACCGTTTTGCTCACAGGACTCCACAGCTTAGAGGGAGCATCGCCCCCCCCCCCTCCGCGCTCCCGTCCGGGTGAGGTTTTGCCTCCGCAATTGCAATGCTGGGCGAGACCTTCCGCCGCCCCCCTCCTGGCTTCTGTCAAGAGGGGCTTTGCAAGCCGACACTCCCCCCTTGGAGTCTGTTGCTGCGCCAGCCATACCACGGAGGGGAACTAGAGTCGTCAGTTTCGGCTTGGGAAATTCCTCGAGATTGGGGGGGGAGAGAGAGTTGAGCCCGGGGAGAGAGCTAAGTGGGGTACAGTATCATAGAGCAGAGGAAGAAGAGATTGTGTTTTTTTACCCTGCCCTTCACTCGGAGTCTCAGAGCGGCTTACAAACTCCTTCCCCTCCCCACAACAGACACCCTGGGAAGTAGGTGGGGCTGAGAGAGCTCTCCCCAGAACTGCCCTTGAGAGAACAGCTCTGAGAGAACTTGTGACTGGCCCAAGGTTGCACCGGCAGCCATAGGCGTAATCTTCGTGGGGGCGGCGGGGCTTCAGCCCCCGCCGAAATTTTCAAGAAGGTGCTCAGCCTCCCCCGGGAGCCACCCTTGCTCCTAGCACAGCA